TAATTAAAGACTTGATGATCCCTTGATCAGGCCAGAGCAGAAGCTTATATATTCCGTCCTCAGCTGAGCACTAACAAAGTTGTCCATACAATTAACCATTAACAACATGCATGGGAGTATGAGACCTTCTTTGTTCCTAGGAGGCTTAATTATCGGCCATCGCTATCGTCAAGTGGTGGTGGTGGTGGTGGTGGCCATAAGCATCACCATCACCGATCGTCATCGCTTTCTACTTTGTTGTACATAATTCTAATTCAGTTCCGATTGAAAATGCAAGGCTTTCAACTTTTTTTTATGTATAAAAGGCACCACCCACCCACTGTTAACACTCTCTAACATTAAACCCTTATCAGCCACGTCTCGCTAATCGCTATACATATGCACCATTGCTATCTAATTTGCTTGCCCACCATATATACAGTATCTCTGGCCTGCATGGTATGACCTGTATCATGCATTGCCGACCTCATGCGCTACCGCTCTGTCGACAACGACGACTAATTCATTGTTTCCATCAACCGCTATCAGTACTATCCCCATCCCCACCCATCTCTCTCCCCCTCCCCACTATCACCACCATTTCCATCATCGTTATCATTATTGTGATCATCACCACCATTAAAAACTTATGGGACCCTTCCTTTCTTTTGTCAGCCTCAAAAATATCAGTAGGATATGTAGTCAAATGTTGGTAAAAAGAACCCAACATCTTAGGTAGCATCTCCCCCATTACCTCCATGAGTCCATTAAGTAGAGAATCCTTCACTCACCACCTTTGACTGGAATTTAAAGTTTTAAAAATGATTGCTTCTTTCTTTGCTTTCATTTGCTGAAGCTTTCTCGCGTGGGAGGGGTGCTTTTGTTTGGTCTTTGATTGCTCCTTCTCCAACGTAACGTTTCTCTTTTCTTTTTATTTTTCTTCTTTTCTCAATTGACTTTTCCATGAAGATGGCGATGGTTTACTCTTCCACTCTTCTCTATTTTCCAATGTTTCATCGCTGTTAATTACAAGTGTTTCCATAAAAATCTCTCTGAGTTCCATGGGATTTAAGCTGATTGTAGACGTTATTATGGATAACTTCTTGTTTGATTCTTGGAAGGGAATGGATTCAAATTGAATGACCGTTGATGCACTACCTTCCTAACATACTTCTCGCTTTCATGACCTAAGACTCAGTTTGATTGTACTTTGTAGTGACAATTTTGTTTGCATTAATGTAAATGCATGGGAATGCAAATAGGCTGGATGTAATTAAATTCCACCAATTATAGCTAGGCTTCAGGTTTGACTGTTTTATTTGTAGCAAATAGGGATGACTCGCAGCAGCTTTGGGTTTATGAGATGGGCCCCGTACAAATAGCTTACATGTTATGTTGGTTGAAAAATCCAGATGACCCAAATCAATCAGCTCTCAGTCGATTATTTGAAGGGCTGTATACTTCAGCATCTTTGAATTGCTCATGAAACATTTCAAATGAATCCGGAGTTATTGCTTCTCACACCAACCTCACACACTTTGCACTTGTTAATTGGGAACATCTCTGATCTCCCATACTTAAATGTTGTCATTCATGGCAGATGCTCCAATGTATGTTGGATGCTCTGAGGCTGGTGTGAGGAGCATTTCTGATGACAAATTCCGACTCCTTCAAATCATCTCACAAGGTTCAAAGTAGTAATACTCTCAATGTGAAATATTGATCAAACAATTGAGACTTTTTTTTTTTTTTTTCCATTTGACAACTTGTTAGTGGATGGATGGATGTGATATGGCGTCTCGTCTATTGTTATTTGATACCACTGAAATAACATAAGTTTAAAGCCACATATCTGAATATCTGAAAATTGATCCATATATATTATATACAAATGTATCCATACATTGTGATATTTGGAACCTTTGCAGCTGAATCTTCAGATCAGCCCTCCTAAACAAGCTCTAAAAAGCAAGATGATGTGGTTCCTAGTTTATATATGACAAAGATTTATTTAGGATGAAGGTGGTACAAATTTTATATCAGTTTTTGGGATACAAAATTTGCACTATCAGTGAGTGCAAATGGGACTAAAAATACAAATTTTGTATCAAGTAGAATGCAAATCATAATTGAAAAATACAAAAACTATAAAAGAAATGCAAAACTGAACTGAAAGCAAAATTTGCATCCTATTCAGATTTACACTGCAAACAAACAGAGCCTAAAGGTTTCTAACCCTAAATGGCTGCCTGTAACTTTCTCAACATCATACCCTCCCGCTTAACATAAAAGTAGTAGGTTGTATAAGGTAGCTCCAAGCTCCAATCAAGCATACGCACTCAAAACAAGTTTAAGGAATTGCAATATAATAGCACAAAATTTGTTTAAGGAGTTTAAAAATAAGGCAATTTCTATGTGCCAGAAGAGTATGGTAGCTGAAAAACATTCATCAACCAGAAACCCAAGAAAATTTAGATGAATACGTGTTGATTAATTGGTTAGCATTTGGATGAATATCAAAAAGGTGTACTTAGGTGATGTTTTGAATTTAATTAGAGGCTGAATCTTCGATTTATCATGATTGAAACATATTTTTTAGTTTTCATCCAGAATATTATATAAACTCCAGTCCAAAAGATCAAAATGAGCACGCTTTGCTAGGCTTACCTTCACTACTTGGTATTTGACTATTAAATGGGAAGATCAAAGAGGGGGAGGGAGACAAACCAATGATAAGAAGACAACAATCCAAGGATCCAAAAAATAAACTATAACAGAAAATTTTCATCTGATTCATGTAAAACAAACAAACAAAGAAAAAAAACACGCCTTCAAATCGTCTGAAGTTCCACCTTGTAAATTGTAATACTTGAGCAATCTGCATATACCACTTCAGTTGGTCTCACATGTCAAGTCACATTTCTTTTCCTTCTGATCTGTTTCCCCCCTTATGTTTTCTTCCCGGCGCTTTGGACTTTGATGATCTTGTTGGTTTGGGCCTTTGGGGCATTATTGTGCCGAACGTTGTCTAATCTGGTTCAGATGTTGGCCATGTTGCTTATAAATTTTCTACCCTTCATAGATGTTGTATTTTTTGTGCAATTTCTTTTTTTCCTTTTTGTTTGGTTGGGGAATTATGATTAGCAATATCCATTCTGTTATTCCTTTGAACAGGTAGCGGTCTTGCCGCCGGTTGAAATTGTTCCCTTTTGCTGGAAATTCATAGCCTACCTGTTGCAGAAGTTGTTTGAGTACGCCGGTTGTGTCGCCAAGCTCAGGACATGTGGGGAAAACGGCAAGCCCTTCGTCACAAACTATACCGTGGATTTGTATTTTAAGAAAGATATTGGGGATTTGAAGGTCGCTAGCGATTCAATTCTCTCTGAGCAAGATGCCTTCACAGAAGTTTGAAAAGGATCACCAAGATACCGTTCACGATGTGGCCATGGATTATTATGGCAAGAGCTTGGCTACGGCTTCTTCGGATAGCACAATCAAGAACAGCAGTGCCGTATCTCTCTCCACAAAAGATTGAAAGGGGCCATGGATTATTAGATTATTCTCTCTCTTCATCTGCAAGGAACGAAAAACAGAGGAAATCGGGAAGAAAAAAAGAGAGGAGAGAAAAGGAAAGGGGAAGAAGAGAGGGAAGATTTCAGAAGTTCGCTACCAATGCAACAGCTACAGCTGCTGCTGTTTGTTCGTGTATGATGAGGTTGGAGAAAGATGAACAGTGTTTTTCTCCCAATATTGCAACAGCGGATTTCAAGGGCAAGGAGTCTTTGTCTCACGGTCACAGTACAGGGGGACCTTTGTCCCAAAACAAAGTACAGAGAGTCTTTGTCACATACCCATAATTACCAGGGGGGGTCTTTGTAATTTACCCTATAAAATACGATGACCATTTAACGGGAAAGTTGAACTGCCAATTGGTCTTCCCTTCGAATCTTGTTTGAATATCCAAAGTTACAAATCGTGGATTGGATGTGGATCCACCCCCATACACATAGGAAAACCTAGATGCCCGAAAGACATGATACCAGGTCTTTGAACAACCAATGGTTACCACTTTTATGACCAGTTTATTGGTTATAAGTTTTTCTTATAAAAATTTAAATCATACTGGTATTTTGATTTTAGATTTTACATTGAACTTTCAAACAAATATTTAGCAATGATGATATTATAATAAGGTATTGCCTAGGCGACAAAAATGACAAGGCAAGCATTTTTTATAATATCATTTATATTGATGCATATTATTAATGTGTGAATACATTATATATATATATATATACTGTATTATTTATATTTTATTTTAACACTTACTATTAAAGCTCAGTTTGGAAGTACAAATACAACTTTGTATAGTACACATACATACAAAATAATACAAAATACAAGACTTTACACTCTACATATTTGTATTAGTACTCCTTCCAAACTGAGCCTAAATTTTAAAAGATCAAAAGGCTTTAGGAGAAAAAAAGAAACAATACAAGTGTAGACGTTTCTATTCTTATTTTAATTCTCCCTCTTTCACAATTCAATTAAATAAAACATCCCTTTTTCTACTTTACTTTCCATCTTAAACTTATATCATTAATAACCTTTAGCTGTTAATTGATATGAAATTGCTCTATTAAAGACTTACTACTACTTTTTTAAACAATGAAATTAATAACTAGACTTCAGGGTGTTTATGAGGGGTACGTTGAATACAGATTAGCATATTTTTTTAGGGAAAATTCTCAATTAGTACCCTGTACTTTGGGCCTAGTACCACTTTGATTCCCGAACTTTAAAATGCGACAATTCAGTACCTGTACTTTCAAAACATGACAATCCAATACCTGATGTTAACTATTTGTTAACCAATTGTTAAGTGGCATTTGAAAAAGACACAAATGCACTAGGCCCAAAGTACAAAATACTAATTGAGAAATTTCCCCTTTTTTTTTACAAAGTGACTCTTTTGAACCCACATGAGAATTTAGAATTCCCTTGCTTGTCACATAGGATTGAGTGAAACTTATCCATTCAAAATTAATAAAACCACAAGTCGATGTAGAGATAATAAATTCCTTGATCAGGAAGACAATTATGAAATTCTCTTAACAACGTACATTACTCACCCGACCCTTCAAGTACCCAGCTCCGGAACCAAGTAATATGATCAGTTTGTCCATCCGTACAGAATTGAGATTAAAAAAGCAAATGGATGCCATCCTCCGCGTAATTACTGCCGAAGGCCACGACCTTAATGAGAATAATCGCTCTTGGTCTTTATATCCAATGCCTTCTTGATGGTCATAATTTGATTCCAACTGAATGCTCGCTTGCTAAAGTTTAAATGATACTGGGAATTTGTGGGCTCATTTGAACAAGGCACTGGTCTTTCTATTGGAAAGAATGATGCATAAGCAGACATCCTTGTGGGTCCACGAGTTTATGCATAAATCTGGCACCAAAATAAACAATATACATAAGCTTCAGCATGGAGGGGCATTGCACAATCCAGGTCCTAGTGAACTCGGCAATCGTGGCACAAATATGGACTTGGGCTAAACCATCCACAAGCTTCTATTAGTCATCCAATACTTTCTAGGTCACTCTTCCATCTTATCTTCATCCCTTGAACTGTTTTCAAGTGGCAAATCTGAACCACCATCATTTGCAATATCCACTTGGTTATTCCCCTCTGAATTACTTTCAAGTGTCATGTCCTCGTTATGATTGGTTAGATTGTCCATACTCTGAGCTTCACTCTTTGAACCATTGTCGAGCAGAACATCCCCATTTGCAGCAGCAGCAGCACTTGTAGACGAAGTATCAGCCTTACTCACATTGTTTGAGGATGTTGAATTTTGATGAGTGTGTTGCAGCTCGTTTGCATCCCAGACTGGTGGGTAAGCAGTATGATAATTGTAGTTGTAGCTCACAAGTCGTTCCTAGTACCAATGAAAGGAATTAATAATGAGACAATTACCTCTACAATATTCAATTACTCCATCAAATAAAATAAAAAAAATGGTCCATGGTGCGTTTGGCTTTTTTAGGGGTTAGGGGGAGGTCAAGTCTTGGATCCCAGTACTAGAAGAGGTGGCATACCTGATAAACCTCGTGCATTTTTAAGTTGACAAGATTAGCCATCTGTTCAACACCATTTATATAATGGATCCTTCCGGTATCCCCAACAGGACGTTCTGTAAAATGAGTATTTTCTTCCAGGTTTAGGGCAAGGAGGTCAGGTCTCTGAAGCAGAAGCTGAAATGTAGGTTGTAGTTCATAACACTGTTCAAAAAGGGCGCGACGACAAAAGACATATAGACCAAGCCGTGCTCGAGACATTGCAACAACCAATCTTCTAATATCACGAAGGTGGCCAACGAAACGTGTACGTACAAGAGACAGTAAGATGAAATCATTTTGCTGCCCTTGAAATTTATCGACAGTTGTAACCTATCATGAGAGAAATAACACAAGGTCATCAATGATTACATGAAAAGAAATGTGGTAGAACGTTCATATCCAATAAATTCTGAAAAATAGAAAGAAAAACAGAATAAACCTCTTCATAATGACTCACCTTGCTAGGGGGACCAATGAAGTCATATGGCACACACCGTCTGTTGATGACATCACGAATCAGGAACTTCTGGCCATTGTAAGTGGTCAAAATTGAAATCTTACTTGCAGGATAACCTAACAAACGCATGTAGATATAAACACTGACTAGATATTCTGCCTCTCCTTCATTTTGATAGAACCATGGTGAAGGAGCACTCTCCCCTTTCCCATGGTAATCTGGAACGTTCACCAGCTGATACTCAAACGAGAATCCAGCATTAGCTTTATGAAAGAAAGCTTGCTCCCGAACATATGGAAGATCACCCAGATCTCGGTACCTCCAGTTGTAAAGTTTTGCTATGCTTGGCCTGGCTCTACCTTGAGCATTTAGTTCAATATATGGGATACCAAGGCGAACAAACCTCGTGAACAGACTCTGATCCATGTGGCTGTACTTCTGGAAAGCCATGTTCTTGACAACCGGAGGCAACTGGTGATGATCACCAATTAATATGCAACGCTTTAGGCGTGCATGGCCATCTTCCTGCCTCTGGAGTAGCATTGGAATAAATGTCTCAATCTCCAAAATTTGGGCACTTTCTTCCATAAGCAAGTTGTCATACTTAAACTCCAGTTGCAGAAAATCCTTCCTTTTGAGAGCTGCATGAGTGCAAGTCATGGCTACAACTTTTGCTTGCTTAGTCATCAGATAATTTGCCCGATCAGCTGTTGACTTAAGTAATTCAAATGCCCTACACTCTTCCAACTCCTGGAACATGGTTTTAAGATGACGGAAGCAACCTTTGGCTGCACGCATGTCTTTCTCAAAGGAATGGCCAGTGAAAACTGGCTGTGGGGTGTTGGAGAAAAACTCCTTAAAGGGGAAGCGGTCCTTAACAAATGTTGGTTTGTCTTCATTCTGTGCACAAGCAGCCAGAAACTGCTCCCAGCGTGAATACACATGCAGCAACCAAAAGTATCCAGCAGTTTCACATGTATAGCCTACATCTTCTGGCAATTGAAGCGATCTTGCAAGCCTCTCTACTTCCGCAAGCAGCTCTAAACGCCGAACAAGCATTGCATTCACACGACCTTGACGGCTGAAATCAAGATCAGTTGCCAGCTCTTGCTCACCTTGACCCAGACGGAGAAGGTATCGAGCAGGAACATCTCTCTGAAAGTAAAACATGATAGGCCTTTAGAAATTAAGTATCCAAAATTGAATACAGAATTTTAGTTAAGCTTAAACAAAGCATGTTTGTACATAGTTATGAATTTCACAAGGATGACATTTACAATCTTCTAACTAGTATGCAACAGAATTTAACTTCAAGGGTATTATAGATATTAAAATAAAAAATCTAAACTTGTTCTGTAGAAATGGGTTAAATCAACAACTAAGACAGTTGTTTTGCTGATGTGACAGTTGTTTTTGAAAAACCATGTCGTCAAACACCCCCTAAATGATCCAGAAAGACTCCAGTAACAACACCATAATCTTTCACTCCCAATACCAGGCTCAAATTCGAAGCTGCCTCCCCTTCCCTTGGAGGTGACATTTGGTTTTGAACTTGGTAAAATTATATAACTACAACAAATCTACAGAAAGATAAATTTAACAAGTACACCAAGGCAAGCTAAGATACCTGCATTATCTTCTCAAAAAGATCATTCAGAGCCTGATTTGAATGTGTAATTATTAAAGTTCTCTGAGAGGGACAATTATGATAAAGAACATTCAGAATCTGCACAGCTGTATCTGTCTTTCCTGTCCCAGGTGGACCTACGACCATTGTTAGTCCTGGCTGAATACCTGAGATGATTGCTCCAACCTGTAATAATTAAAAAAGAATCATGATTTTGAGAAAAAAATTAAAATCCGCAAATATATAAAAGATTAACAATTTCAAAGCAAAACCAGTTGCAAAGTAATACTGTTGAGTTTTCTTCAAGGGAAGAATATTTGGTATTAGAACAATTATTGATAATTAACTACTATAAGGCTGTGTTTGGTTTGAAAGGAAGGTAGGGAAAGAACCATTATTATTAACTAGTTAACTACTATTAAAGGCTTACCTACCTTTTCTTTCAAACCAAACACAGACTAAAAGAGTATCTGTTTCAGTTGGCCATACATTTTATTTGGTTCTCAGAGAGAAACTGGAATACCTTTTGATAAGAAGATTCATTAAAGAGAGATTAAAAGGACAAGAAACCTCAGGATTGCATAATTACAGTTCTTATCAAAGAGCTGCCACCAACTTATTGGCACTTTAAGTGCTTTGTACGTCACTCGGGATTTCCTACCCACTCTCTACCCGCTGTGAATTGCAGCCACACATCTCTATGGCTGCAATTCACCGCGGGTAGAGAGTGGGTAGGAAATCTGGGCTCTTTATACGTTCAATTTTATGGGAAATTGAAATGACAAAAAGCTACCAGGAGCCCAGAGAAATAACAAGCCCAGAACCCATCCAATCCACCTGACAACAAGAGGTATCCAAGCTTTGGATATATGCATCGTTTCCTTCAAAACCAAAAACTCCAAGCCTATGTTGTCAAAATCTTGCAATTTACTATAGGGGTTCACAAGTCAATTTGTGAATGCCAAAGGCTCCATTTCAAATCTTAGCATTGAATCCTATCATGAAAGTCTATCAGCTATTAGAACTAGAAAAAAAAAAAAAAAACACTATTAGTACCGAATCCCAAGGGTTCCAATTCAACTCAATTTGTGAACCTCAACTCATCCTCTTCTCCTTTTTTTTCTGATCATAGACTGCATATTTTATTAAAATGCAGAAAAGTACAAAAGTTGCAATGGCAGTTCCGCTACAGTATAAATTTTATTAAAGTACAACTCCTCCTGGAACAGTTCCGCTACAGTAACAATGGCAGCAAGCTGGCCTCCTGCGTGGACACATAGCGATTGAGGGATTGGAAGGTGCCAAGATGGGTCGACTCCTCAAAACCCAAGCTCCCCATACTTGAAAACCCTAGCTGGGGCTGAGCTACAGCTCAAACAAGAGAGAGAACCAAAAGACCCCTCCAGAAACATTCCCCCTTCTCTTTTATAAGACCCAATGTCTTGTTGGAGAAGCCAATTAAAATATTTACATATCCCTAGAATGTTTCCCTTTCACAAGCAACTCCTTAAGAACAAAACTAACCTCAAATGAACCCCCAAAAGATAACTTTTGTTACAAAAAGATCCAAGAGACCAAAACCTAACAGATATGCACCCAACTAACCCTGACCAGAATCTGACTTATAAAATGATGAAAATACTCCTGATCCCTAACTGTCAACAAAGTTACCCAAAAACAACAATTTGGGATCCTACTACAAAATACATTTTTTTTTTCAATTTTCTTCTTTTTTTTTTTTTTTGCCTCGTCACTCTGTCACTAATGTTTGATATGAAAATTGGCATTTGGGTTGTACATTAACTGTTCATTTATGTTAAATAAGCTAGGAGATAAAAAGGAAACATCACATAGAAATGCCCTCAAGAGTCTGTGGAGTGTCAGATTCTGTCATGCACACAACACGAATACACCATCCATCTAGAAGAGCCCATGCAAAAACATCTCCGACTTGGACCCTTGTTTTTATACTTGCCAGCCTAGGACCTTACATATTACCATTGCACCATGAAACAGCTCCAATTGCAGCTATTCAAAACCTTTCAAATAGGCCATCTTTTTATTTTATTTACCATCAACATGCTGGTTAAAGGACCATTCTGTGAATTATTAAACCTTGAAGATGAACTTAAGTAAATCATTTGTTGTATATACCATACTAGTAGTAAACTTGGTGGCAGCAATGAGATTTACCTCATTTTCATATTTGTATGAAGTTTTAGATATATTTTCAAATTTATCAAACTTTCTAAAAATACCCTACATTATATGATATGATTCATGACTTCTTGTTCAATTTGATACAACAATCTTTACAATTTGGTACCTTACAATTATAACTTCTAGAAGCTTATTTTAAACATTGAAGAAAACACATGAATGATTCAATCGCAACCACAATTTATGAACCAACAAAAGCAAGACAAAATAGATCCAATTCCAACAATGTGGCAAATGTCCTTAAAAACAGAAAATCTCAAAAGACCATATTATTAAAGGGGTGAGCTTCCAAGACCCAATTGTTTGGATACTTCTTTAGTGGAAACCTCAAGACCAAAAGGCATAACCTGAGCTAAAATGCACAGTAAAATGTATGAGATGTTTCACATAATTAAAAGGCTGTTTATTACCTGTGTGGCAGTAAATCTAACAGAGTTCTGCTTTGGCTGATCTTGGGGATATGGACCAGGATCAGGAGGGATATATGCTTCCACTCTAAGTTCATCCTTCTTAGAAACTGTATCATCCATACCAACATGATTTATGGTAGGTACAATGGACTTTGCATTCCCTGGTAGAGCATGTGGTTTGCCTTTAAATGCCTTGGGGAGATTTATTCGAAATGGAGGTTTTGGATGCAAGTTCTCTGTCCAATCAGGATTCACAAAGCAAACCTGGACCATAATTCAGCCAATCAATTAATTTTCCCAGTTACAAAAATTATAAAGCATACAAGGTTATAAATACAATGTGATATAGTTAAAGCCCTAAAGTCACACTATATTACAAATGAGACAGGGGTGGCAGGAAGAGAAAAGAACACCTCATAGTCTGGAAAGCTCTCTCTCAAATGATCTGCATCAAGAAACGTGTCCTTGAAGTCTACTGTTTCTAAAAGATCTGACATGTTTGTCCACTGTGCTGCAGAAGGATCTCCATAGCCCAAAAATATATTGTGCAACCAGTCAGGAACAATACAAGATTCATTCATAAGGTCTCTTATTGACTCTAAAATTGCTTTGAAGTTGTTTTCCTTGGGTTTCCTTCTCATGAGTATATTAAATGTCCCATAAATGTCCTCTGCATCCTTCTTGGCAATGTCAGAAACATCCATGTAATATTGTGCTGTATCTAGGGCAACTGTCACAGTTCGCAGTTCACCTTTAGGAGGTTTCCATTCATCCCTTTTAATTCGCCCAGTGAAATCATTCATAAGAGTCGCCTCCTCGTCACGTATTTCAATAATTTCACATCCACGAACATATTGAAGCCCAAGCCTTTCTGGAACACTTGACTTTTCAGCCTCCTCTGCACTGAGAGGCTCGAAAGAGGGACGAATAGAAAGTAAAAATAGGACATCGTGCTCCTTAAGGGCATCCCATTCAGATCTTATTTGAGCTCTATAACTTGAAATGCTATATGTAACCTCTGCTGTTACAGAAGATGGTTTTACTTCTCCAATGTTTGGTTGCTTTACCTCAGTAATCTTAAATTCCTTAATAGGCACTGCCATCCTCGACCATCCACGAAAAGCAGTATCTCCCTCATTATTGATGTATGCAAGAAGATGAGGCACAGCTTCCTGAATATCCTCACGAATTTCATATGTTGATTCCAGACGGAAAAGATTGAAATTTCTCAATAGATAGTCATGGAGGGTTAGAAATTGAAGATTAAGCTTTGGAAGAGCAAGACAGCCTTCACCAGAGTAATTGATGCTTGGTACAAGGCTTTCATCCCACATAACCTGTTCGTTCGGATAGAGAGGAAGAGCATTTATGGCTTCCCTTTGGGACTGACGCCTCTCAAAAAAGGAGACCATGACTTCAATAAGAAAATCTACCCTGTGTGCCCAGGGATCTTCCTTGGACACCAATTTGAGCTGTAGGTAGAGGAAGGTTGTTAATGAAGAAGCAGAAACAATTAAATGGCTTGAAAAAATAATAATAATGCAAAATAATATTCAAAAACAACATGAGAATGCTGCAATTTTCTTAAAAGAAAAGGCAAGTGATAATCTGCTTGAAAACATATGCATAACTCATTGCTAGGGACATTACCATCCAAACTTATCTACTTGTATCATTCCAGGAAGATTCAATGGAAGAATGATCCACTTAAGGCTTTTGTAAGATTGGAATGGTGTAAGTGGCAAAGTTTAAAGCTTGAACTAACAAGCTTACACAAAACATTAGCTCAATGAAATTCCTTAAAGATGAGTTAGCACACAATATTTGGCAAAATTCAGGCTTGAACTAAATTATAAAGGGAAAACAGTCTTAAATTAAATTGATTACCACTTCTTATTCTTAGCAGCAAGGTGTTCTGTAGCAAGTATTTCTCTATTACATTAATTTCTTTTTTATATTGGTTACCGCTGTAGCACAAGCTTTTCCTTTCCTTTTTTCTTTGTTTGTTGTGATTCTGACCATTTCATTATTTTTTTCATTTTCTATAAGTGGTTTTCTGAATGTAAAAGGGTCATTACCCAAAGTTTGTCCCAGCTATCTGGTGTCTTGGGAGGGATGGACTGGATATGGACCTAACCTTTGCCACTTTTTTCACAAAGTGACCATCCTCAGACTTGAAGTCATGTTTTTGCACTTGCCAGCCCAAGATTTTATCATTACACCAAGAAATGGACCCTAAGCAACTTTTTGAATGTATTAAGCAAAAATAAGAGCAAGGACTTGTGCTCTTAAACAAAAAGAGAAGCTACTCAGAGTCTCCCAACCACACAACGGTGGTAGGGTGGGGGGACATGTTTACATTTTATTTATTACCAGAATGAAGGAGATTTTCTTTTTTTTTATTAGTAACAAGACATTACATTGATTAAAATTTACAATTGTGAAGAAATTCCAATACATAGAAATCCCAACGACGCAAAAACATCAACTACCTCCTGCCCAACTACAATTCAGTCCAGAAAACCTGATTTCTATTTACCCCTTGCTTGGCTATCTTGAAAAATGAGGTAGAATGCATGGAGGAACTGGTTGTGCAATTCTCCATTTCAATAAAAATTAAAAAACCTAATGATGGCAGGGAGTGGGCATTGACAAATGTTTATGGATGAAATTCCTACAGAGATAGGATGTTCTTTTGGGAAGAGCTGGGAGCAGTTAGAGGTCTATGGGAGGCGCCTTGGTGTTCGGGAAATGATTTTAATGTTTTATGGTTCACAACAGAAATCAGTAACCCCAATCAAAGAATAACTACAAGCATGAGAAACTTCAATGACTTTGTGGATGACTTTGAATTAAAGGAGATCCCATTGCTACAAGCAGAATACACCTGGTCAAATTTTCAAGAACTTTCAACTTGCTCTAAATTGGATAGATTTCTGTTCTTGGTGCATTGGGAAGAGATGTAGGAAAATTTAGCTTCTAGAGCCTAGCCTAGAGTAACATCAAATCATTGTTCCATTGTCATAGTTCAGGAGCATAGTTGTCAAGGCAACACCTAGGCGACAAGACGCCCTTGGAGGCTCGCCTCACCTAATCACCAAGTAGTTTTGTACATCATGTTATAAAATCTTTTTATTCTTAAATTTTTTCAGATTTTAATTATAAAATAGACATTATTAAACTAAAATATCCATTTTGTGTGTTTATATACTAATTTCTTTTTATTATTTTCTTATTTGTTAGGGTTTAATCAATTCAAACATTGTTAAATGCTGCATTGAACACATTTTCTTATTTGTTAGGGTTTATTATTTTCTTATTTCGTCTAATCAACACATTTTCTTCTTCTCATGGATATGTTGATTTTCTTTCTTTCTTCTTTTCTTATAACAAAAATAGGGGTGCAACCCCTATATCTTCTGGAATTTTCTTTTCTTTCTTCTTTTTCTTCTCATAAATATATCGATAATTGTTAAGGAAATATGGTTATGGAACCTACAGAACTACCTTGGGATATTTATTTTCTACTTAAAAAAAATCCATCGCCTAGGAATTCGCCCACCTAGGTAACTAGGCGACAAGGCTAGCCACACCTTGGAGCCTTGAAAACTACGCTCAGGAGCTATCATAAGGAGACCTTTTGCCTTTCAGGTTTGAAAATATGTTGTTGAAGGATCCTACCTTTGTGGAAAAGATTAAGAGTTGGTGGGGTAAAGTTAGAGGAAGGGGTGTGAAAAAGGGATGAGGTTCTCTACGAGCTTAAAGAAACTGAAGGAGAAAATTAAAGCTTGGAACAAAGAACAATTTGGGAGAGTGGAGGAAACAAAAAAAAGAAAATTTCTCCAAGGGTTGTGGAGTTGGATAGTAAAGAAGCCGTCAAAGAAATCAGAAGGGAGAAGAGAGAAGAAGAAAGAACTCTAAAGGTTGAACTAGAAGAATTATTAAGAAATCTCTTGGAGGAAAAAAATCTAGATGCAAATGGCTTGTGGAGGGAGACGGGAACACAAAATTTTTTTTCACTCAACTAGTGGAAGAAGGAAATCTGATATCTAGCATTGATGTGGATGGTCAAGAGGTAACCAAGGAAGAGGAAACAGTCAAAGTTTTTGTGGATCATTTTAAGGCCATTTTCACCGCTTCTAGGATAAGGAGCTCTAACATACCAGTTCTAGCTTGGGAGCAAATTCAACCTTTATAGCTTTGATCCCCATAAGCCTGGTGAGGAGTCTCTACAAGATAATAGCAAAGGTCCTCGCTGGAAGATTTTAAAAGGTTTTACCTCTAGTGACTTCACAATTCCAAGGTGCTTTCATTTAAGAGAGGCAAATCATTGATCAAATCTTGGTGGCTAATGAGTGTGTGGCGGTGGAGAGATTAAGGAGGGGAAAATGTTTAGTTTGCAAGTTAGACTTAGAGAAGGCCTAAGATCTAGTGGATTGGTCTTTCCTTCTTGAAATTCTAGAGAAGATTGGGTTGGGTGCTAGATGGAGGATGTGGATTAAAGGATGCTTAAGCTCTGTACACTACTCAATTTTGGTTAATGGAGTAGCTAGGGATTTTTTTCCAGCTAGTCAATTTTGGTCAAGTAGGATGATAGTTAAGGCTGATCAAGATAGATTGAAGGCTGGAGGGTAGGAAAAAATGAGGTGGTAGTTACCCACTTGCAGTTTGCAAATGATATAATTTTGTTCTATGAAAAAGGCAATGAAAGTGACTTGAGAAATTTAAAGAAACTCATAGCTGCAGTGAACTTGGGAAAGAGTTGTGTAGCATGGATCAATGTGGAAGCTAGGGGATGAGAAGAGGGACCATTTAGTGAAGTGAGAGCAAGTAAGTAGACCTAAAGAGCAAGGAGTGCTTGGAATAGGGAATTTAATGTGTAGAAATACAACTCTTGGGCAAATGGCATGGAGGTTATCTGCTTTAAGAAATCGCTGATGATTGAGGGTAATCGGTTTACGAGGGGCCACTTCCCATTTAAGGGTGGCTGCCAAAATAACCAAGGGGAGAGGGGTAGACAAGATGCGAGAAGTTTACACATTCAGCAATGGCCGACTCATGGGAAGGTCTCTGTTAAAGTGAACTCTAGATCCTTCTTTCTGGATTTGGATAGTGAAAGCACGGCGGAGAGATCAGTCTTCCTACAATCTTGCCTAGTAGGAAGTTTCGATTGAAAAAGATTCGAGCTAGAGGATATTCGAAAGTGGTCATCAAGAGTTTGGAACTGCTCGCACAGGTTGATGTGAGGCGTCTTGATAGTGAGAGTTAGGTATTCTTCCTACCCTCAAAGGAAGAAGCTTAGAGAGTTCTAAATACGGGTTTGAGATGTTTCAAAGGAGCCTTGCTACACCTTGAACCTTGGCCAGAATTGATAGGAGTTTGGTGGAAGAAAGAAGATGTTCCAGCTCATGCCTCTCCTCGGGCAGTTTGTATTGTAACATCACTTTGTTTCCTTTGAATAAAATACCATTCATTTATCGAAAAAAAAAAGATGTTCTAGACCCTTTTTAGGTTAGAGTATTTGGACTTCTTTACATCTGTGGAGCAACGAAATTGGTAGGATGATTGGTGACCTCTGTGGTGGTTTTCTGGAAGTGGACGATTCAAAGAAGTACAAGGAGTCCTTTGAATGTATGTAGTTGAAGGTTCGCTGGTTGGGTTTACCCCCTCAGTCGGCTAACATAGTGGTAGGTGAAGTGATGTACATAGTCATGATTTGGTTGGAGATCAAATCAGAAAGAATGGTGGTTTCAACGGATTATAAAAATGCTATTCCAATTGGCAAGGATTTCATCTCTCGAGTGTTAGCCAGTGTACCGGCAGAAGGGGAGTTTCGGTCAGCAATGGAGACTACCGAGAAAGGAGGGTCGGTGATCTTCCTACAGCCAAGATAGAATTGAGGGTGAGGTGGGAAAGGGCTCAAGGGCAAGGCGGTTTCGAAATTCAAATTTCCTAAATTCTAAAGAGGTTGATGTGGCATTTGTTGATAGGTTGGCTGAGGCGGTGGTGGATAGAATTCAAAACCAAGTGAGTTCAAAAGAGATGGGCCTAGTAGCACACAACCTTAATAGAAAGGTCGGCCCACGTTGTAACCCAGGTCCGATCCGGTTAAAAAGCCCAGCTAAATCTTTTTGAAAGAAGCCTAGTCCCAACTTTTCCAAAGGAAAAGAAAAATTATCAGCCCACAAGGGTGACCTGATGTCTGCCTCCTTAGAGTGAAGAGTTCGCAGATGGCAGAGAAGGTTCGAGCTGTTGGGAGAGTTGGAGATAAAAGCATTGCAACAGTGATAAAAGCATCGAACCTCTTTCCAACAGTGATTTCGCAGGCGAGGGGTGCTCATTTGAGGTAGAAAGGAAGTCCAGCAAGATTCCAAAAGAAGGAGAAAGCTTGGCAGGTTCAGGGGTTCCCATTCAAACAAAGTCCTTTGCAGAAGTGGTTGGAGGATTAGAAGAACCGAGAAGAAGCTCATGA